AGAGCATTCCCAAATAAATACATGCTGAAAGATTGCATAGTCAACACGGCGTCCAAAGACAGATCTCAATATTCCTATAGCGAATTATATTTTATTTCCTCATTGTTCATTGTTACGAGAACTTCCAAAATAAGATATTCAAAATGACGAACTTGAATCGCAGCAGCTAAAAAGTGGTATCCACATATTCTCACATATGTAAGATAGGGAACGATTTGCCTTATTAGAATTTCTTGGGAACGGTTTACTATGTTAGGCAAATTTTCTTATTATATTTTGAAAACTCTAGTTCTAGTACATTCAAAGTCCTCATTTCCTTGCACTGTAAAGGCTACCATTACCAGGCATTCTATTTTTCACCGCCCTTAAGTTTTTGCCGTGAGCTTTAGCTGATGAGATTCTTTGATTTCCTTACCCTGGTGTGGATTCTTTTTATAACTACAGATCTTAAAAGTGACACTAGCTGCTTTTTGTCTCTTGAAGGCTTTGGGGTGCCCCCCACCCCCATCTCTTCAGGATAATTACTTTCTGTTGTGCCTTTTATTACCATGTCTTTTAGGATCCCCTAACCTTCTACACTCTTGGGCTTTATTTAATAGTAAGCTCCCTCCTCCACTCTCCACACTAAACCATGCTCATTAGGTTTCCTAATCCTCCGTAATTTGCTTTCATGAAATCCTGTACCTTTGAGGTGCCGTGTTCTATGGGCCCATTTCCTTCTTAGAGCTATCCCAAGCAGCCCAGAATCAACAAGCGCTAAACATTAGCCTATTTACTTTCTCAGCCGACATGACTCTCCAGGAAAAACACAAACAAAAACTTTGTACTGAATGTTTATGGGCCATGAAACTGTACCATTTCACTTGGCATTTCATTGTCTCACAAACATTGCCTGAGAAGATTAGGGCCTCAGATCACACTGTGGACAAGCTTTAAAGTTCTCAATTTACAGGATTCGGGTTCGTCTTGGTTAGAAAGCTATTCTACTTTAATCCAACAGAAATAACAGTTTATTAATAGTTAGTTAATGTTGATTCAAGTCCAACTATATCTTGGCCTTAGACCTCGAAATGCAAAAGAGAAACCCCTCTTTTTTGTTGTTCTCCCTGTTATTCTGCACACGCTCTGCTTTTCCCAATGGCATGCTTTTTGGAAGATGTGTGCCTAGTCTTTAAATTTGACTGCTTCTTGTTTACGAGTACACTTCTTTACACTGCCTTCTCTTCCATTCGCCTCACCACCAGGACCTTTGCTGATAGCTATGGATATGTCCACGAGAGCACCTATTTTAGATTTTTTTACCCCCCTTAACTTCTAGGAACCTTAGTTTAAAAAAAAAATCTTGGAATTGGATTGAAAGAATTATTGAAGTTTCCAAATGTGCTAGTTTATTCAAGCAAAGTTTACACTTCAACCCTATGCATGCTAACTTGTGATCCTCCCTCCCCATCCTGATGATAGAAAGCAAAGCCAGTAAGTTCTTTATTTAATTGGTTTGCATCCACATGCTGACCTCCAGGGCTCTGTTTACATAGTCTATCATGCAAAATGCTCCACAGTTCTCTGCCTCTTTCAAAAGCATGTTTCTCCTGAGATTTGATATATAGCGTTCATGTTTAGTCACTACATTAAACTCAATGCTCTACTTCCTCCAGTATCAACTAACTTCCCTTCTTGGGAGGCGGGGAGAAGAGCAGAGCTGCTTGCTACTTCTGAACATAAAAGGAAATTTGTTTTACTCTCTTAGTAAAAGTACCAACTCTACACAACTTTAAGCAAGCAAGAGTAGTACATTACTAGAAAACAATATTAAAATAGAAACTTAAAGCTTCTTTAGAAAGAATCTAATTTCTGCTCTCAACTGGCAGTCAAAAACCTTAGGTGGTTGAGTTATAAACCAATAGAAGTGGTTTTTACTCCGTATATACCTCAGTTTATATAGAGAGAACACAGCTAGATGGAAGCAAAAGTTTTAACTACATGAATCCTGAGAACTGGAACATTCCTGAGGTTCTCAAATCAGAATTAATCTATATATCTGCCTTCAAATTGAAGAGTTTTTTTGTTTGCTTTTTAGCCACACAATTCACCACAAATAAAACTGTCAAAATCTTGTTGACTGATGTGGACATGGTGATGGTGCAATTCTTTCCCTAAAAAGGTGTATAATGATCCAGATTCCTGAAATCTTAAAAAAGTCAGTGAGCCCTTTCTATAACTCTAGGCAATTCCTAATTTTCAGATTTTAAATGAAATGTATGTATTTTACTTTAAAATACTTTAAGCAAAAAAAGAAAACAAGTGAATCAAATATGGTAACCTATTAACAGGATTATCTTTATGTCTTCACTCTTCTGTAGGCCTGAACATTTTTCATTATAAAAATTTTAAACATTTACAAAAACACAAGGCAAATGTTTATGGATTTGCTTTTGTGGAGGAGAAAATGATAATTTTTCATTCTAAGACAAATTTTTAATTACTTTCTAGGCTGGTCACTTTTATTTATAGTCAACCAGTGAAAATTTTTATCATGTGCTAACAAGGAAAACTGCCTTCCTCTCTCTGGAATCTCCCTCCATAGTCTGAAATACATTTATACAAACTGCAAAATGTTGCGCAATAACATTTTGGGTAATTTGTTGGGTCATTTCCCTGAGAAATAAAGCCTGTACCTGCCTACACACATCAAACATCACTTTGAACCCTTCCCTTTCTGGTTAGTCACCAGTCATCCTATGCATTCTATTTTAAAATCAATTTAATGGGGCTCATACAGTTCATCGCAATACATAGATCAACTGTGTAAAGCACATCTCTACATTTGTTGCCCTCATTCCCAAAATTAGCCTATGCATTCTTTAAGGTTTTATTTTTCTGAGTGAGATTGATGTCTTCCTTCATTTAAAAACCAGGAACCCTTCGGAAACCCTGTTACAGCTGTAACTAAACTGGTTTACTCTCTGCATTTGAGGAACAATAGAGAATCTGAAGCTATTAAAGCCATACTTTTAATTGTTCCAAGATATACCTGTATCATTGCATATAGAATCCCAAAAATTAAAATTCTGGCTTCCTTTGTCATGATCCCCTCATTCAGTAGCGAGCTAAAAGACCTTTTTTTTTAAATTACATGTTTCTTCATTTCAACCCACCTTAAATTTTTCTACGACATATATATAGTACATACAACATTAAAAATTAAAATCATCTTTAAATCAGTATTTCGCCTAAGACTTTTCAGAGTACAGAACTTTGTAGTTTTCAAAGGCATGTAGATGTCATCTATGGTAGGCATTTTGAAAAAATTGGGCCAAGAAAAAAATAAAAGTGTCATGAACAAAATCTTTAGTCATAAGAGTAAAAGATGTGTGTGCTTGTGCAGATGTTTTAACTATTTTCATGATAAATATTAAACATCGGTATAGGAATATAGCAGTGCTTTAATTTGGATTTGAAATTTTAACATAAATCATGTGATTCTGACAATAGCTGCCTGATATTTCAGTTTTATACACTGTTTCCAAGTTCTTCTTTCAAAGTGAGCCTCGTAGATTCTTTTTAAGCTATATTCCAGATCCTCTTCCCAATGACCAATTTCTGACTTTATTGTTCATGATTTAAGTACACATCAGATTACAATAAAGTCATAAGTCCTAAATAAATATTTGATGACTGGGTGACGATGATAAAAAGACATGTATTTTTTAATGTAAGAAGTCACTCTCTCTATCAGTGTTAAGGAGTATTCCGCAATCACTTACTCTTAATCATACTTAAACTATTTCTACTATTGGAGAGAACTTGTCAGTCTATTTTGAGCCACCTTCCCTGAATCAGGTGACCCCTCCTAGTGTACCTTCAGGCTCTGTCTAGTCAAGGCTATTAATCAGAAAAGCCTTAGTGTCGCTGGCATCTGTGAGGAGAGATCTCAAGAACACATGGAAGAGAAAGACTCTTGGAATTGTGGTTCTCAAACTTAAGTGAAATTGTAACTTAAACAACAGACTTCATATTTAAAGGGTTTCACCAAGTAGTAGAAATTCATAAAGCTGTACAAGAAAAGATGAAACATATGAAGAAAGTGCATCAGCTCTATCAAAAAATGCCACTATCGAAATAGCACTTAACACCACTAACAAAACAGAAGAATAGACATCGCTTGGTTCTTTTCTGAGCGTAAACAGCATTTTTTAAATTTAAAAATAGAACTAAAATCGAAGTCGATATGCTTATAAATTGAAAGTGATTTTTAAAAATTATTTCCTCCTGAAATTAATTAATTCCTTTGTATGTACCTAACATGAGACTTTTCTTCCTTCCTTTCTTTCTTTAATTGAAAGCAGCATCAGACATTCTGAACAACATAAACACATTTCAGAATGTGACGTGAAGACAGCGCCAAGTCTCAGGATTATATAGCTAGTCATGCTTCATGAGAAGAAAACATCCATGCGTCTGAGATGCCACCATTTGTGGGATTGTAAAATTTCCCCTGATAGATACATAAAATAAGGGCTTAATCTGACCTTAATTGTCTGTCTCCCTCCAACAATAACAATAGATATCGAATAAATAATCAACAACTTTCTATTTTTCCTGGCTGAAACTAATGTTTGCTGGATTTATGTGTTTATCACCCGCATTTGATAACAAATCACTTGCAGAAAATATTCAGATTATTTAGGATGCTTTGTCCACTAAACAAGTAATATTCTGTTCTGAGCAGTGCGGATGTGTAACCCCCATCTCTGCTTTAAAAATTAGCCTATGTAGATAGCATGCATTTAACGCCTCTTGCAGACCCATCACAAAGCCCAAGTGAACATCCTTGCTTATGATTCACAGCAGCCAACAGCCCTGCTTTGAGGCTGGGCCCATGTTTTAAAGAGACTGCCCAATCTGTTTAAGATCAAAATGGTTCTTGAGCTGATGAATTACTCCTTAGAGAATAATGTAAATAAAATATACTCAGAATAACATCATTAATGAAAACATACCTGAGCCAGAGTCAAATTTGGTTTCTGATCTGCAAAGGAAAAGAAAATTTTTAAAACATAAAAATTTTTTGAGCAATAGTTATTTCATGGAGGGGGAAAAAGGATGAAATAGTTAATATTTTTCAGCTCACTGATCAACAAGTAGAGTACCATTCTAAAATGCAAATACAAACTTTTCTTGAGCATTTTTTTTACTTGAGATCATTTTCTTTTTTTTTTTTAATCAATTTATTGAGGCTCATACAATTCATCACAATACATAGATCAATTGTGTAAAGCACATCTCTACATTTGTTGCCCTCATTATTCCCAAAATTCGCTTTCCTCTTGGGTTCCCAGAATCAGCTCATTTTCCTTTTTTCCCTTTGCACTACCCTAGTCCCCGTAGACGTACACATTTCATGCAGGTAGCACAATGCAGAAAATATTTAAGCTTGTTTTTGAAAGAGGATAAATTATGTGGGGAAAAAACGCCACATATCTTCAGATTAACTTGTTTCAGTAATAGAATGAAGCAACACGGAAGGGGAAAAAACAATTTGTAATTATCCTCTTTGCTTATTATTAAAGATTTTCAATTTATCAGCACCAAGTAATTTTTCACTAAGCTCTTAGCAAGGAGTGAATGAACCTCGTAACCTCATACATTTAATAAGGAGGGAAAAAATGCTGAACCCTTGTGGGAACACTATGTTTCAGATATAGGTGAATACTGGTTTTAAATTCAGAAGCCTTTGAAGCTCTCGGTTTGGCTGTGGGAAAACTTCTGTTGGGTAATTACTCTCAAGATGCTGCTGATCTGCTGTCAAGCAGAATTAACCCTCTGACGAGGCCTATCTACACAAGCTACTATGAGACAGCATTGTCTACACTGAACTCTCAAACCAATTAGTGGGCATGCTCCAGTCGGATTTATATCCCACGTTAACAATCGCTAGTAGATATGTTCACAGCTGCCACAGCACGAGACAAGCACCAACCAGCAGGAGTCCTGTGAAAGGATGGTCCATGGACAGAGACGTTTTTTCCAGGGGAAATGTAGTTAACTAAGTGGGAAAGGAGGTTCCTTTGAAATGATGCCAAGGTACCAAAGCATCTTTGGAAGAAGTGATTTTCTTTACCTAAATACGCTTCACGAGAAATCAAAGAGAGGATAAAAATGAAAAGGGTAACAAGAAGCTTCCTTAACTATAAAAATTCCTTTTCTTAAGTATGCTTAAGTAAATGTTCACCTGATGTCCACACAGTGTCAGCAACTATGTAAAGAAATTATGATTGCAACCATGATTGTGAACAATCAACACTGCAATCCTGGTCTACTTTCTCCCCACACCCTGGCCTCATTCGTAAAGCCTTCTTCTTGGATGTTCCTGCCTCATATTGCAGGTACAAACTCATTCCTAATTTTTAGCCCTCTCTCCTGTTCTGTAAGCCTCCTCTGTATTCCACAATCCTGAGCAGAATCATAAATGGATACCTTATCCTGGTGTCCATTGACTGGCTTCATTGTTTATCTTCCCAACAAAACTGTGGCACCGTATTAACCTCAGTCCCTACAGCACCTAAGTAATGTCTGGTACTTCTGTTGAGCACAACTTCTGCATGGCTCTCCCTGGATTCCTCTTCCTTACAGCGTAAGTATTTCAGAATTAAATAAAAGCCCTCCTCCTGATCTGTGTCATTTTTATTACCCCCTTTATTCCTACTTTACAATCACGTTTACGGAAAGGATTCTTGTCGTTAGCTGCCATCTTAGGTTGTGAGAGAGAAGCCGATAGTAAGGTCAGTAGAACAATTAAGTAGCAGGAGCCTGTGAGGCTGCCACTTGAATTCCACACTACTGTATCTTTTAGACACTCTTTTTTTTAAGTTTTGTCACAGTAGTTGAGCCTGTATCTTATATAACAGCAATAGTCACAATGTTTTTTAAAGGCTTAAACTAAAACTTCTCATTTTTTTAAGCCTGAAAATGAAGTTACCATCAAATCAAACACCAGAAAGGATAGATATTATAATTCAAGTATCATAGAGACTTAAATATATATATATATATATACACACACTTATTTATTGAGTTAGTAAACTACAACATAATAGCCGTGGAGACAAGTGATAAAAAAATAATCCTAATATCTGGTTCTTCAGAAATTTTAGGAAGTCAAAGACTCACACAGGTAAACTCATAAAACAAAAATGTACATTAATGTTGTTGTTGAATGCTGTTCAGTCAGTTCCAACTC